AAACAAGCTAAAGATAAAGGCTGATGGTCAGTTAGTGCCTGTCCTCCTAACAAAATGCGCTTACAGAAGGAAAACATTACAGTCAGACAGTAGGAGGGTGTCTGCGTACTCCAACATCACAATCTCAAACAAAGTGGAACGGGTAGGAATAGTATTAATTAGAGGGCCAGTTGAGAAAATATGCTGGATATCTCCTTTCTTCCTCTCTCCCTTCCTCCCCCCCCCCCCCCCCCGTCTCTCTGTGTATGTATGTGCCTAGAGATTGAACCTAAGACCTTGGTTGGCAAGTAGTATGTGTGTCTGTGTCTTACTTATAGTTTCTATTGATATGACCAAGCACCATGACCAAAAATCAAATTGGGGAAGAAAGGGTTTATTTGGCTTACATATCCACAGAACTGTTCATCATCAAAGGATTTGAGGACAGGAACTCAAACAAGGCAGGAATCTAGAGGCAGGAGCTGATGCAGAGGCCATGGGGGCTGCTGCTTGCTGACTTGCTCCCCTGGCTTGCTCAGCCTGCTTTCTTATAGAACCAAGGACCACCAGCTCAGAGATGACACCATTCACAATGGGCTGGGGCCTCCCCCATCAATCACTAATTAAGAAAATGCCTTAAAGCCAGATCTTATGATAGAGGCATCTTCTCAGTTGAGGTTCCCTCCTTTCATATAACTCTGGTTTGTATGTCAAGCTGACATAAGATTAACTGGCACAATATGTATATATATATGTATATAATGCATATACAGACATACATAAATTATATGCATGAGATGCTACATGAATCATTTGAATGTGTATATGTTATAAACAAAAACAGAAATTCCAGCCATTCTATTTTACCAATAAAGAATCAGGAGCCAGGTGCTGGGGGTCAGAGAAAGCACTTGGATTATAGGTGTGTGGTAGGCCTGGGTGAATCACACCATAATTACTGGTTTACAATAAACAGAAAGTTCTTAGATTAAAGGTGTGTGATAGAGCTCAACCACACCAAACAAGAAACAAAGTTTTTACAACAGGGTTCACAATTTTGGGGTTCACAGTGGGATCAAATATCCTGCAGTCCATGTGAAAATAATAGCAGATAGTGCTAGCAATGATAACATTCTCATGGCGAATGGTTTCTTGAGGGATATATGCAAGGCAAGTAGCTCCTTTCAGTCAATCTAGATTCTCTCATGACTGTCCAGTATATATGGAAGTGGGCTTTTATATTGTACTTTGCGTTAGATACTTGTTTACTCAACAAATGAAGAATGAATTGTTGCAGTGACTCTTCTAAGTACTTCTAACAAAGTAGTGAACAAAACAGTACCCTTATCATTGTTTTACTTTCTGGTATGAGGAAGCAGAAAGTAAATCATGCAGCTTGTTAGAATGTTACCTGTAAGACTGGAGCTGTGGAGAAAAGAAATAGAGTAGAGCTAGGGCTTGGTGTGTTAGAGCTTGTAATAGGGAGTACGGGGCCTGTTGTGAAGTTGTGAAGGAAGGTCATCAGCCATGTGAGGAGAGGTTTCTTAGAATGTTCCAGAAAGTGGGAACAGGAAGTGCATCGATGGAGTCCAGTGTGACTGCAGCAGAGGTGGAGGAGAGACTTGTAGCATGTGAGGTCAGAGCAGTCACTGGGAGAGTAAGTCCATGGCTTTGAGAAGTCGGCCTGTGCATGGTCTTGAACTTCTTTCTCCTGTGTGGTTGATAAGCCATTGTATTGTTTACTGGGACATGGAGTCAGTGAAAGGGAAGGTACACTTTTATTTAATTACAAACACATGCACACATCCCTTCCACTGCTCCACTGGCTCTGTGCCTTTACACTTCTTTAAGGAGACAGACAGACGGAACTCCATGGCCTGTGCTTAGAATGTGCTTATCAAAACTGCACTGTCATCTTTTCCACTCCCCAGGGTGTGAACCTCTGGCCTGTGTGCTCAGTAGACAGTCGGCCTCGTTTTACTGGTTTCCCTTGGCAGGGGCTCAGGGGCCCTCTCAGTCGATTCTTCCCTCTGTTGATCTGAAATCTGCTGCTTTTGATTTATGCTCGTTAGTCTACAGTTAATTTACCGCAGGCTCAGCAGGTAGTTGACAGAATGTTAAAAGCAGGCGTCAACAGGAGGAAGGAGACTTGTGAGAACTCTTTTGAGCCTTTTGTAAGCACTCACCTTTAAACTGACACCTTTACAGGGAGAGGAACATGGAACCCTTCTCAGAATCTTCCTGGTCCCCCTGTGGTCCTTATGGCTCTTCTGTGCCACCACACTGGACAAGAAGTAGGTGGCTTTAGTCAGCATGTCCTTCCGACTCCGTGGCCAGTTGTATCCAGTCTGCGCTCGTCACTCATTTGAATTAGCCATTAGCAATTCACTAGTGTGGCAGGAGCCATTCTTTCTGTCCTCCCTGAAGAACCTACTAGAAACGCTCTGAGACTCAGCTCTTTGCTCCACCCACCTCCCCATTCTGCTCTCTTCAGTCCTTAGACCAAATGACTGAAGACATACCTGATGTTTGCTAACAAATTTGTAGAATTTTAAAAATAAATTTGACTCTTTCTTAACTATTGCATTGATTTAATCTAAAACTATGACAAGGGAATTTATGTTCTTAATATTTGGATTATACCTACAAATGTTTTTCAATTAGTGACCTTCTCTCACCACTCCATCTGCACACAAATCACCATCATTCAAAGCTGTGGGCCACGGTGATTGTTCCCTCCTGACAGTCTCCAGTTAGTATTACTGTAATGTGCCGGTCGCTTGTTACTCCATCATATTTACAGAATCCTTCTGATTCACGACTTCTTCACAACAGCTGTTGCGGAGATGTGTTAAAGATCATTAGCACAGAATTGAGGCTGTCTTCCTAATGTAGTCAACATAATTACCTCGCTTGTAAAAGAAAATGTGGATAACTACTGTTACCTGGCTCCCCTCTGTGTCTGTCTCTATCTTTCTCACATACACGGTCTGATATGTTCAGTACAAATCTGTGTAAAATGTCCACACTAAACATAACTAATTTCTGAGTGTGAAGATCTTCGGTTCCCACATCTTTCCTGTCTTTTGTGTCCCTCTGAATGACTGCACAGTTCTCATGACTGTAGCTCATGAGAAATAATCAGTAAATACTGGATCCTGTGTTATCTGTTGAATTTGGTGGATCTTGTGTGTATTTGACTTAGGACGTTTTGAGGTGTGGGGAATTTGTGGGATGCAGGGCCCTGTGGCAAGTGGAGCAGATTCTCTTGCAGTGGGCTACTACTTCAGCTTGGGGCTTAGGGTTTTAGTATAAAGTTTTATAGAAACTGTATTATACATAGTGAACAATTCTGCTTCATTTTGTTTCTTGTTTACTTTTTAGGATGTTTTGGTTGTGTTTGAGATGAATGGAGGAGGGGAGGTGGCTTCTCCCTGAGGCAGGGTCTTTTGTTGATTCTGCCACTGTGCTGCCTATAGGAACCTTGGCTGCCTAAAAGTCTCCACTTCCCACAGAGCACAGGAGTGCAGAATTACAGATGTGTGTCGCCTACTGCATCCAGTTTTTATATAGGCCCTAAGACTTGAACTCAGCAACCAGGCTTACACAATGAATGTTTTTATGCTTTGACCTATCTCCTCACCCTCTATTGTATTTCTTGGTGAAATCTAATAAAAAGAAAGAAAGGAAGGAAGAAAGAAATGGATAAATAATCTTTTGAGACAGGACCTGATGTAATTCAAATGGGCCTGAGTCACAAAGAAATTTTTTTTTTCCCAGACAGGGTTTCTCTGTGTAGCCTTGGCTGTACTAGACTGCCGTTGTACACCACGCTGGCTTCGAACTCACAGAGATCCACTTGCCTCTGTCTCCCTGAGTGCTGGGATTACAGGTGTGGGCCACTGTGCCTGGCAACAAAAAAAATTTTTTTAAACCCAGATTTTAAGTAACATGAATTAGTCTTGTGTTTGAAAAATGTTTTGAGGGCCAGCAATCTTTGCTTTGCTGTGTAAGCCTGAGAGCCTGGACTCAGTTCCTGGGACTCATGAAGGGAGAGAATCGGCTCCCAAATTGGTCTTTTCACCTTTACATGTGTACCATGGAACATGCATGCCCACACTCCCACATATACACACCATAGACACAATAATTAAGTGAAATAAAGATTTTAAGTAATTTCTAAGGTACTGCCAACTTGCTGATGTACATATCACTGTGTATATATTTTTGACATGACCAATTGTGAAACATTCCTTCTTCCTTTTCTCCTTGGAAGCACTCCTCAGGTCATGACAGAAGGGAGAGCCACAATTCACACCGCCGGAGCTCCTCACCAGAATACAGGTAACTGTTGTCTGTGTGCCAGGGGTGAATTTTTCTTTTGAGGTTTGTTTTTTGAAACAAGGTTTCTCTGTGTAGCCCTGTCTGTCCTGGAGCTTGTCCTGTAGACCAGGCTGGCCTCAGAGATCTCCTTGCCTCTGCCTCCTAAGTGCTGGGAGTAAAGGCGTGCACCACCACCAACCGGCCTCCTTGCTTCTTAGTTTTCGGGTTGACGTTGAAGTGCTGTTTTTGCTGTTATGGCTTGCTTATACATTCACATGACCTTTTACAGTGAACTTTTTACTTGCATTATAGTATAATTATATTAAACTACCCCCTCTAGAAATAGTACCAGGGGTGTGAACCACGCAGTCTTACCAGCACTACAGCTGTGCCGCTTACTACATGAGGGTCACTGGAATGATTCCTGAAGGGAAGCGCCCTATGCCTTGTGCACTTTATTCCTACTCCACACTCTGCTTAATCTCTCTGGGTCCTTTGCTTTAGGACTTGGCTGTGACCACTTCCTGCCCTCACCAGTCACCTGCTCTTTGTCAGCCCCAGACACATGCAAGTGTAAGGTGATTGTAGCCATGTATACAAAACACAACTTATATTACCATATAGGCTTATATTTAATTTCTCTTAATGTTCTCTGATTCTATTGAGTTTTAAGGGTCAAACAATAGATTAATGGGATCTATCCTTACTTTTCTATTCAGTGTTCCCAGTACTGCAGTTTCCAGAATACCATCTAGTGATTAAAATGTTTGGGCTAGACTTAAGTAGAATAACAGTGGGATGTTATTGATTGATATTGGTCACATTTGTTAGCTTGGCTACAAGTAAGTATTTGTAAAGTAGCCTTGTTCTGCCCATTATGTATAATTTCCAGACTTGTTCCTTCACCAAGGGCAGTGTGAATCGGGATGGGTAAATTTGGTTATTTTCAGGAGTTGTTTTGCTCTGCCCATGCTGGAAGCTTTTGTAATTCAGACTGTGGATAGGTACCAGGACAGTGAGCTGTTAGTTAAAGCAGTTCATTAAGATGTGCATCATTGACACCCAAGTATAACAAGTATATTCCAAGCATCACAGTTGTTTTCAGTGTATAACTTGGGTTTTCTTGTGTGTTAGACATGAAGAACAAGAACGCTCTCCCCGGGGTAGAGACTACTCTGATTACAGCCACTCAGACCACGAGCGCTCCAGAAGAGGGTACGATGACAGCGTGGACTCACGGTGAGTGTCATGGATCTTAACTGCAGAAAAGTAACGGTTTTTTACATGGTGCAAGTTTGCTTTGTTTTGAAGACTGGGTTTCACATATCCTGGGTTGATCTTGAACTGAAAAGGTTGAGAGTGACCTTGATCCCAGTCCTCTGACTTCTACTTTCTGAGCTCTGGGATTGCAGTGTGCACTGTCATGCCCAGTGTTTGTGGTGCTGGGGATCTAGCTCGGGTCTTTGTACATGTTAGTAAGGTACAGCCCAGCCCAGATTGTCTTTACTTTGTATAATGAAAACAGCGATTAAAACAATGGAGTCCAGGCTTCTAGGAAGGGCTTCATGTGAGTTCACTCTTTAGACAACAGGTGTGCGCAGTAGACGTACCTGTTTCGGGGCTGAAGAAACTCCTGCCTAAAAATGCTTAGTAGTTGGTGGTTTTGAAACACAACATTGTCAAGCCCAGATACATCTGACCTTTACCAAGGTGTTTGCATGTTGAACTCAGCATGGGTTGCATCCTGTCATTTTACCTAGGAACTACACTAAATGAAAGTGGAGGTTTTCAGATACAGAGTGATTTTTTTTTTTTTCCTGTAGTATGGCAGAGGAATACTGTGAGTGAAATTCCTGATTTATAGGGTTGTTTTTTCCTAAGTAAATGGCTTTTATTTGAGTTTTGGAAAATTTGTCTACTCTATCTCTCTAGGCAACACGTTTTCTGGTTGATAACTGATTCTACAGCTTGTTCTTAATTTTGCCTCTAAAGCCCACGGGTTTCTGTAGCCCCGGACTGAGGTTCTGCAGCATTACCCTTTACCTTTGGTCCGGTATAAGAGTATAAAGTCTCATGGCCCTCAGGCATACTGTGAAGCCAGCAAACTAGGTTTTACTTCAAATATCAAAGCTAATACTTGAAAAATGTCGTGGATGTTTTAATTCGGCTAGCGTCTGCACACTGAGAACAAGCAAGGTCACTGTAGAGAAGGGACTGCCCCGGCTGGGCCACCCAGCTTCTCCACAGGCACGGAGTGCTAGGGGCTTCCGTAGTTCTGCTGTGGGAGCATGCCACGCGCAGATCGCGCGGAGTTTGCAGCATCCCTCTCTCTCACTAGTTGGGGGTTATATTTGAAATACTTTCAAGATAGTGTATTTTTTTAAAGTTAAATGAACAAACTGCTCTCTGAGGAAAGAGCAGACACCAAAAATTGTCTTTTCTAAGTTCCTTATGTTTTTAGAGAAAATAAGCCGAGTGTTGAAAGGTGTGAAAGAGAAGATGGATACTTATATTGAAGGAAAGAGTAACCGTTACCTTTAACAGCATGAAAATAAACTCGTTTCTTCTCTGTTTAGTTTGCCACAAACCAGTGCGTGTTAATTATCATGCCACTCTTTCTCCCACTTGGAAACTTAATATTCTCCATCATCTCCAGTGTAAACATCTCACAGGACATTGGTTGCCTTTTCAGAGTTCAGTCAGACTTAGACTCATTTTAATTCAGCTGCTGCCATGCTGGATTCTTCAGTATTGTTGGATGGTGTCATCTGGTCTGGATGCCCTGCTCAGGTTGCAGCACGTGGGCTTCTCTCAGTTGAGGAGTGTCATCCTCCGCCAGCTTGTTTCCAGGACGAATTGCAGCTAAAGCCTTAGCCCTGCGGTGATGGATCCTCTTCCCTATGAAGCATGCTTCACCATCCTGCACCTTCCATCCCTGACAGTCTCACTCATTTTCTGTGCAGTTCGTTGTAAGAATGATGTTATGTTTTTCCACCCCCACTTCCCCATCCCACTTCACAGAAGTAGGAACCGAGAAAAACGCAGAGAGAGAGAAAGAGATTCGGATCGGAAACGGTCCCGGAAATCCCCATCCCCTGGAAGAAGGAGCCCGGAACGAGCAGGAAAGCAGAGTTCTACTCAGGAGGAGCCTTCCCTGAAGAAGAAGAAGGAGGAGCTGGACCCGCTGCTCACCCGCACCGGGGGAGCATACATTCCTCCCGCCAAGCTCAGGATGATGCAGGAGCAGATCACAGATAAAAACAGGTGTGTTGATGGGCGGCATCTCCAAAGCAGAGACAGCCTCACGAGCCAGGGATAGAGGAGTGTCATCAGCTTTGCCCGTTAAGAATGTCCTTGGTCTACCATGACGGAGACCATGAATTACAGTCCACTTGTCTATTTACTTCAGAAACTCCTTTGGAACATTGTGTACTGATTGCTCTGATATTAGCTTATAACTTTTTCATGTTTCTCTGTGTGTGTGTGTGTGTGTGTGTGGGTGTCTGTGCATACACACATGCATATTTGTGTCCCCACACGTGTGTATGGAAGCCACAGGACAGCTTTGAGGCAGTGCTTTTTTTTTTTTTTTTTTTAAGACTGGGTCTCTCAGTGGCCTGAAACTTGCCAAGTAGGTTAGGCTGGCGGGCCAACAAGCCGCAGGGACACACCTGTCTCTGTTTTTTCATAGCTATTACAAGTGGATACCACTGTGCCAGGCAGTTTTTATGGACTTGGAGATTTGAATTTTAGCTTCCTGTGTTTCTGTTTGTGTGTCATAGGGCCCGACAGTGGTCTTTGAAATGTAGTATTAGGAGTGTTTTAGAGATGACCCCTCCTTAGTGCAAATTCGTCATCCCTTAGGCATTTTGTGTTTTTACAAAGGCATCACTGGAAGAATTAGTGAGTAGTAATCACTTTTCCCAAGCCAGTCCAAAGCAGTTTATTCAGCTGTGAAAGAAAATGTGTTATTAAATCACTTCATCTTCGGTATAGTAGGCAGTTTTAATCCGTTACGGGAGGTATTTCATAGGTAATGGAGGTCTGTCCGTGGCAGAAGGAACACATTGAAATGGAAGAAGAGTCTGTAGGTTTTACTTTGGAGGACAGCTCTTGAGTTGGGAAAAGTCACTGTGCTTGACATCACAGTTTTCAGGAGCTGTGCTACATGCCAGCATATCTTACTGTTAGGTTAGTTACTCAGCAAGGATCTGTTTCTCTAGAGAAAATGAAGAGGGACTGGGACAGCGTGACCTCTGCCATGGGGTGGGCAGTAATTAGCAAGAGTTTAATTGATTGGAAGCAGCAACAGAACATTAATTGCAAGTCAGTCTGTTGGTCTGCCCCCTTCCTTGTTGTTTCCTGGCAGGTTTAAGCAGTGTCAGTGACCTAGTACCTACCAGCCCTGTTCTCGTTCTCATTGCTCCTTTTTGCAGGAACTCTGACATACCAGTCTTACATTGGTCCCTACATGGAATTCAGGCAGTTGGTTTAAGAATCTTGATGAGAAAAAATGCATTTTATTTTTATTAATCCCCAACTAAATTTTACCATTTCTTTCATTGGAAGTGTAACTATATTGTGCAGTCCCAATCAGTATGTCACAGATACTACGTGATACTACATATTGTGACCATGCTGTTTGGAATTAAAATTGATACTTAGCCTTCTACTGATTCTTGTTACTTCATGTCGGAAGATGCCCATAGCACACTGTAGCAAGCATATTCTTTTCAGGCGTTGAGGTCTATTTCAGTATCTGTTGTAATCCTGTGTATTATATGCATTTCATGAAGCCTACTAGTTTCACTAGACTTCAACAGAAGTATTGGGGGAAAGGCTCTGACTTTCTGCAGTCACAGTTAAATTCCACAGAGAAATAATAAAAGCCGTAGACTTTTAGAGCTTTAAAAGACTTTAGGCATTATCAAGTTAAGTGTGAAAAGTTCAAGTGAGGCTAAAATGCCCAAATGTAAGTTAACAACAGTACGGCCGTCTAACTTCAGCTGTACAGCTCTGGGATAGCTGCAGAAGCAGAAGGTCTTTCAGATGCTGCGGAGTGTCTCAGCTCCTTGGTCCCATGTGACTTTCTCTTTTTTTGGTAATTTTTAGCTTAGCATACCAGAGGATGAGCTGGGAGGCCCTGAAGAAATCAATCAATGGTCTCATCAACAAGGTCAACATCTCCAATATAAAAATTATTATCCAAGAGCTCCTTCAGGAAAACATAGTCAGAGGGAGGTAAGTAGTAGTTATCTGCCTTGTGTTTCTCACAGGAAGTTTTTCAAGGAAACATAGCATCTCTGTGAGCAGTAAACATTGATTTGTGATGCTACTTCATTTAAAAGGTATTTGTGGATGTTTATTTGAAATGTAGTTCTTTTAAAATGCAGGCTGTTAAGTAACTTACACCATATTGTGCAAGGTTTATAAAGCTGGTGCTTTTTGAGATTTGCTATCATGCCATAGCTTTGCACAGATACTCTAATAATGTCTCCAGTAATTTAAATCCACGAGACTTAATAATTATTAAGATATGCACTTTAATGTTTTTAGTTGACATAAAATCTCTCTAAACTTGTTATTAACGATGTGATGCTTTGATGTGTCCATCCCCATGTTGTCACAGGTGTCTGGGTTTCTCCCTTAGAGCTGAAGGGCTTTCCCCTGTGTGTGATGGATCGTCTTTGTCAATCTGTCAGTGGATGGAGCTCCATTTGGCTCGTGTCGATAATGCTGAAGGAGGTTGCTGTGTAGCTCCGGGGCTTATAGTGTTTTCCCTACCATCCGCACTACTGTGCATTCCTGTTCATAGTCCACGTGTGGTGTTTCCTATTCTCTGCATCCTTGGAAACGCTTGCCTTTGCTCATTTATGGCAGCCATTTCCTAGGTATGAGATGGTACATCATGTGGCGTTACTCTGTTCATGCGATGGTGCTGCAGTGCAGTTGGTATGAGCGTTGTCTTGGATATGTCCACTTAGACGCTTTGTAGATACTCAGAACGGGGTTGTATTGTTTATTCCCTATTGGATGATAGTTTGGATATTAGCTCTGTATCAAATAGCTTGCAGATCCTTTCTCAAATTCTGTATTTGTCTCTCAACTTCATTGACAGTTTCTTGCACTGTCCAGAAACCTTGTAAATTAATGCACTCTAATGTGTCAAGTTTTCTTGGGTTATTTGCGGCTTATCAATCTAGACAAATATCATGGTGCTTCCCACTAGTGGTTCTCTAGATTCTCTTTTTCTGTTTATCCATCAGTTTCGGTTGCTTTGTGTGTGTGCATAAGATTAAGGTGTGTTTTTATTCTTCTGCATGTTGATGTCTGGCTTTCTACCACGGTTGAATAGACTACCTTTACACTATTGTATGTTTTGATGCTTTTGTAAAAAGGAAAAAACCAATTACATATAAATGGATGAATTTATCTCTAGGTGCTCTGCTCTGTTCTCTGTTGGTTTCTATAAACTTTTGTGCCAGTACCATGCTGTTTTGATTACTGTAGCTTTATGTAGTATTAGGTTTTAAATCAGGTAATATGATGCCTCTTGCTTTTTTCTTTTTGCTGAAGATTTCTTGACTGTTTGGATTCTTTTATATTCTATATTAATTTTAGGTTTTTCCTCCCTGAAAAATGACACTAGAACTTTGATGGGTATTACATTGACTTTGGATAGTATGACAAGCAGCCTGGCTTGTTCCTGATCCTAGAGGAAGAATTTCTGGCCTCTTACTGTTGAGATATTGTTACCTTTGGGTTTGTTATTTTGTCCATTACCCCAGTTCACGTTCTAATTAAAGCAAAGCAAGAATGAGAGGTAACTGGGAAAGATGAACAATACATTTGAAGAAAAGTGGGGGGGGTCATCATTTTGTATTTGAACTGAAGAAACTGGTGATTTTTTTTTTTTAAGAATGAAGAAGTAGAAATAACATGTCACATCTTTTATGTTTAAATCTGAGTGCTGTCTTGTGTGATTTCACATTACCTTGATTACAGTCATTACAGAATAGGACTACACTAAGTGTACCATGTTGGGGAGCAGAAGCTTGGCCCAGAGCCTCCCACTACCCTTGGAGATAGCAGAGCTCTGTTCATTTTCCCTGGAAAACAAACAGGCATAGACAAGTGGCTTGGGTTGCTTCTGTCTAGGTTCACTTCTTTTCCTCCTCAGCGGTCCCTCGTATGTTGCGGTCCAGTCCCTGTCACTGTGTTGCTCAGAATAATGTAAATTAGCCTGCTGTACACCCCTCTTCCTTACCAATGCATATACAAGCATGATCGTTTTCAGGTGGGTTTCCCACCGCAGTGTTGTCACTTCGTCTTAGGCCACTCCATAGCCTTACCTCTGTTCTTCTAAAATTACTCCAACTGAAGGCTCAGCCCTGTGTCCCAGCACAGAACCATGTTGTTCAATGACAGGCACGCGGCAGAAACTTCATGTGTCTACACTGTGTACTCTCAAGCAAGTTTGTTCACTTGACTGTTCTTTGGGTTTGGTTTTTTTTTTTTTAAGATTTCCTACAATATATTTTGATCATGTTTTTTGTCTTCCCCGATCCTTATAGTCTAATTAGATGAAATGTAAATAGGAAAAGAGGAATTTATTTAGAGAGAGGTTTTTGAAAAAATAATCCTCATGTTGTTTTACAAAAAACAAAAGCACAGTTTTGTTTTCATAAAAGCATTTTTTAAAATTGATTACCAAGATAAACTCTTTTCCCAGCAAAAATAAAGATTTAGCTTTTTCTGTTCATGACTAGGGAATGCTTTTCCTTGTTTTATGTATTTTTCCTAAAGTGATTGACTGACTCCTTTTTTCATGTTTTGAATAGAGGGTTACTGTCCAGATCTGTTCTGCAAGCTCAGAGTGCTTCTCCAATCTTCACCCATGTTTATGCAGCTCTTGTGGCAATAATCAACTCAAAATTCCCACAAATTGGAGAATTAATCCTCAAAAGACTAATTCTTAATTTTCGGAAAGGATATCGAAGGAATGATAAGGTGTGTATGAGTGGCTTGTAAGTAGACTCACATGAGGTTATTGCAGTAAGCCAGCATCAATAAAAGTTAAGTGTGCGAACTTCTGCACAGGAGTGAGTGCCTTCATTGTATGCCTCTTGCAAACTGCTTATCTTGACATAACCTTCTGTCACTAAGAGGAGAACTGACTGACTCCCAGCTTTCATAGCTCCTGCGTGTGTATTACTGCTGGATAAAAAATTATCCCTATGTTCCCTTTTAAGGAACATGGTAATCCACTATAGATTTTATTGGCACAGGAAAGTTGATAGCTTTTGGGTTAACTATCTTTACTTTCACTTTTCAGCAACTTTGCCTGACTGCTTCAAAATTTGTAGCACATCTTATTAACCAAAATGTGGTAAGTAATTATCTTCAAAACTTGGTGGGATTCAGTGGCATAAGAGCATCAAGAGCATGGTCTTGATGGCATTTCCCTATGTCACAGCATTGATCATCTTGGGTGAGATTTCAATTGTGTTTTAAATGCACCTAGTGTTCTTGAATGTAGAGGAATCTGTGCTGTAAGGTATTTTGTCAGACTGGTGTGACCCAGCAGTGTCTGGTTACTGAGCCACAAGTTATTCTATGTAGTGTTTAACTAAGTCCTCTTTTCTAAAGAAGTAACGCTGTGTCCCCTCCACTCCTTCCTCTGCCTGTTGCTCATGACGACCTAATACATAGGCAGTGCTCAGTGTGAGCAGCCTGTAACCAAGTACATCAGGGCGCTAGAGGTTAAGGGTGCTGACTGGTCATCCAGAGGACCTGGGTTCAATTCCCGGCACCTACATGGCAGCTCACAACTGTCTTTAACTCCAGTGCCAGGGGATCCAACACCCTCATACAGACATACATGCAGGCAAAATACCAGTGCATGTGAAAAAAAAAAAAAAAAAAAAAAGAGCCATTTAAAACAAAATGATAACAAGTACTTCAGTAGTCATGCATGTCTTCTGGGTTTTTTGTTTGTTTGTTTATTCACTTGTTAGCATATGTCACCTATTAAATGTTGTACTGACTTCCTCATGGATATGCATCCAGTTGCACGGCAGAGCACGTGAACTAATATGTGAACACATTTTTCAGGCCCCATGGCTATTCATCTCTTGCTGTCATCCCATCACCAAAATCTATTCCAATGTTTGGTCCATCCTCCCTCCCTCCTTCCTTCCTTCCTTCCTTCCTCCCTCCCTCCCTCCCTCCCTTTCTCCTTCTCTTTCCCATTCCTTCCTTCCTTCTGTCCTTCCTTCTGTCCTTACTCCCTTCCTCTCAGGATGGCTATAAACTCACTGTGAAGTCAAGAATGACCTTCAAATTCTGATCCTCCTGCCTCTGAGTCCTAAGTGCTTGGACTGTGGCCATGCACCATAGTGTCCAATATTGAGGATGGATCTTAGGGCTTCCTGCATGCTAGGCACACATTCTGCCAATTGAGCCACATCTCCAGTCCCCGTTAATTGGTTTTAACTTACGTGTTCCCTAAAAATAAATATGGGAAATTTCTGTTGTGGCTACATATTAATTTTTACAGATAAAAAGTTGAGGTAGACTTATTTTTATATAATTTTGTTAGGTTTTGCTGATTATGAACACATACAACAGAAACTACATTAAACTTCATTAAAAATACTAATCACTATTAAAAATTAAACTTGACATAAAGAAAAATTTAACTTAATGTTATACTCATATTTAGGGCCAGTTTATGAAATATAAGAAATTAAGTAATTGGCATCCTTTTGAAATGCGTGTAGTTTTATTTCTTCCTCTCCTTTATACTAAGTGTTCCCGAGACCATCATAAACTTCACTTACAAGTACATAGTTGTGAAATACAGTCGATAGAGTAATTTTGATGTATTTTAAGTGTATATAATGTTTTGTTTGTTTTTCATTTTTTTATTCATCCACTCTTCTGTGGATTATATTTACTTTCTACCCAGCTTTGAAAATACAACTGTTTATGTTCCTAGTCAACGATTCTCACATATGTACCATCCTTCTTACTGTAACACCATGTACATGGAACGGTTTTAGCACACTTAATCCTACTTCCTTAATACTGAAGTGCAGTTCTTTTCAGTCTCTGCTCTCGGAAATCTTTTACATTTTAACCTAATTAGTTGTTGTATGATTTAAATAATTGCTTACTTAAAATCAGGGAAGCAGTTAACCTTTCTGTAACAGCAGATATGTTTTTCTGGTTTTGAAATGCTACTAGTTTATTAGAATCACTACCACCACATAGTTGAAATATTAACTATTTTTACCTTTCTAGTTAGATGTAAAAATTTTCTTGCAGTGGTGTATGACTAACCTCATTCCCCCGTATGCGCCCCTTCAAAAGCAGTATGTTTCTAATTTTGTGCAGGGTAAAGATACTCTCTTAAATTGAGGCTTAGATTCTTCCCGTCAACTCAGAGAAGTACCTAGCTCATCAGTGCATATGGAAGGCATCCTATGGCAGTGCCTTCCTGTAAAATCGTATTTTAATCTACAGAGTGGTTTTTATAAGTGTTCATTTTAAAAGTTGATCCAGGTGGGAAGTTCGACAGCTGAAGAGGAAGTATCTGGGCTGCAGCTCAGTGGGCATGTGCTTGGCTGGCATGCTTGAGGGCCAGGCCTGGTTCCTTCCCAGTACTGCCACCAAAGAGTACAAATCAATACATAGATAAAAAGGAAATAGTCATAATTCAGCGTCAGTAATCTTAAAGATATTTTATGATACAATTTTTGCATAAGTTAAGGACTATTTTCTGTTTAGTAGGATTACATAGTAGATTGAATTTGGAGAAGATATAAAACGTTGCCACCATGAAAAGGATACCAAAAAAAAAAATTGAGGCTGCAGAGATGGCTCAGTGGTTAAGAGTACTTGCTCTTCCAGAGGACCTGAGTTCCATCCCTAGCACTCGCAACCAGTTCAAGGATCCAGCTTCCTCTTATTTGTAAATTAAAATACATCTACTTGTAGACATAAACCAGATGCTTCTTTCTGTTCAGTGTAGTGAGTTAAAGAAATTATAAATTACATGGTGAGATGTATAGAAAAGCTATTATATACATTGTAATCATTATAGTATACTACTTTATGCTTAAAGTGGCAGGTCAGTAGTGTAAAACTATTTGTCTCCTCCTGTGTCACAATTAATTAAGGCACATGAGGTTCTGTGCCTGGAGATGCTCACGTTGCTGCTGGAGAGACCAACAGATGACAGTGTCGAGGTAGCTATTGGTTTCCTCAAGGAGTGTGGCCTCAAACTAACCCAGGTGTCGCCAAGAGGAATCAATGGTAAGTACACATTCCCCTCTCTCCAAGGCAGGGTTTCTCTAGTCCTGGTACTCAGTCTGAAGACCAGGCTGGCTTTGAACTGACAGAGATCCACTTGCCCCTTCTTCCCCAGTGCTGTGATTAAAGGCTGCATCACCACCACCCAGCTTGTATTCTTATCTGTTCTTATTCTAGTGGTAGAGAGCTGGTTTTTATTGTCTTTTCTTTCCTTTTAACTTCAGCTATCTTTGAACGCCTCCGAAACATTCTTCATGAGTCTGAAATCGACAAACGAGTCCAGTACATGATTGAAGTTATGTTTGCTGTAAGGAAGGATGGATTCAAGGACCACCCTGTGATTCCAGAAGGACTTGATTTAGTGGAAGAGGATGATCAGTTTACACATATGCTCCCTTTGGAGGATGACTACAATCCAGAAGATGTTCTCAGTAAGCTGAGGCCATGGGAAGCAGGACGTGGGCACCAACATGTCAATGCAGGAATAAACACCTGACTTCTTATTTATTTTTAAGATGTTTTCAAGATGGATCCTAATTTTATGGAGAATGAAGAGAAGTACAAGGCTATTAAAAAAGGTATGTAAATTTGACAAATAGCTTGGGTCATTCGAAGCAAAGTAGATAGTTCTGTGAAACTGACAGGAATGTCAATAGCCCTGACTGTCCCCAGACAGAAGTTCAGCCCCAGTGAAGCCTGCTCTTCGCTTCTTCACGTGCTAACTCTCTTTGTGGTGTTTCTTAAAAGCTCTCCGTTGCCTTGGGGTGGTTCCTTTTCTGCTTAGACTTTTGTTTCTTAAGCCCATTCTTCCTTTGCTTTTGGACTCCTTTCCCTATAGTTTCCCTAAAAAGGGACTTGTCCCACCTGAATACCTGCTATGATTTCTTTCTAGTGTAAACTTGGGAATCCCATTAGGGTCTAGGCAGTTGGCTGGTACATGATTGTGCTTTTTTATTACAGTAGTTCTCAAGTTCTGTGGGTTTGAGTCCTTAATAGTCTTTAAAAGTAGACTCTGAAGGGCTTCAGTCTCTTTGAGTTATATCTGTCGGTATTTTGATATTTACATATTAACTCATTTAAAAATAGTCAACTGGTGTACATTAACATAAGTGACATTTTTATGAAAATCATTATCAAGCAAAGGGACTTAATTAGGAAATGGATCCTCTGTCCTTCTGGATTCTGCCTGCTGCAGCTTGTTCTGGTTTCATTTATATAATGGAGTTAGAAAAGGGACGAGTATTGTGATAGTCTTTGCAGATAAGTGTGTTATCCCTCCTTGATACTACAACAATATTTAACTGATAGTAATTTCTTAAAAGTTGATTTCCGTTTGAAATCTTGAATGGTATCACTGAATTTTCACACCAAGTTAAGTGTTAAAAATCTTTCATGTATGTGTCACTTCTATTAGATCATTACATCATGCCTCATTTTGCAACGTGTTAGTCATTTGGAACATCTTGCTTCACTGTGTTTTATATATATATTAATATATAAATTTATATATATAAATATATAAATGTTAGCACATGAACATTGTCTAAGTCAAGTTAAGGTGTTAGGAGAATATCAAAACTCCCATTTGTTAATGTTGCCACCTATCTCCTCAGAAGTTTGTCCCAGTATTGGGATGCTGTTGAGGGATAAATACAAATTTTGCAAAAACTAGATTTGCTCTTACAAACTTAAATTCTGTTATGGTGGCAAATACTGTTTGTATGCTGTTTTTGCATGAGAGTGTGTGTTACATTTGAAAATGCTTGTCAAATAACCTAAAAATATCTCTATATGACATTGCCCATTTTTTCCCAAATAAAAATAAAAAGTTTCTGCTTTATCTTAGGCTCAGACAGTTACCCCAACCATGTCCTTGAGGTAATCACCAAACTGTCCATCTGTCTGTGCTAAATACAAGTGCTATATTGTTGTTCAAGTATGGAGATGTAATATTTTCATCCTCATCGGGGACATTTATAATCAAAATAGGGTTTTTCTCTTGCTGCGGGTGTGGCAGAAAGCAGCATGGACTCCTGGTATATCTTAGCATTTTGATTTGCTCTTAGATTGCAGCAGTCTTCATCCCCATCGCTCTAGACTGCTATTGTAGGTAGCAATACAGTGAGAGGCAGAGAATACCTTGGAATTATTAGGAAAGTAGTGTTGACCTCACAGACCATCTGACAGTTTCAGTTTCCCCCAGGGAACCATAGACCATTCGTTGAATCATTGTTTTATTCATCTAATGAAATCCAGTTGCCAGTGCCTACGGAATTTGGGGAAGCTAATTCTAAGGAGAGAGAAAAGAGGGTGATGTAAACTATCAGACAGTTCATTTGACCTTCATCTTTGGTGAAACATTCCTTTGGAACTGGCATAAAAATGACCGCAGCAGGGAGTGAGCGCAGCTTTAGTAATTAGCAGCTTCGCATGACCCAGGTGTACTTGTGTGTTAGGTTTTACAGCATTTGGGAAGACAGCAGGAGTGCCTGTCTCCCTACTTTTGAATACTAAATAGTTTCTTCCTTGCAGAGTCTGTGCTCTGTTGCATAATCAGCTAAACACTGGATTGTTTCTTGGAGTTGCACTTGCTAGAAATGGTTTTAAGATTTGTATGTCAGGTAAGGGCCAAATGGAAGCCCTGCAAGCTTAGCAAATGATTGTTCCTGCAGCAGGAAATTCTCCACTAACATTCAGTGTGTGGTTCCTGATTTACACTGCTTTGCAAAATACAAAGAAATTAGAATTTTCTAAAAGTGGGTTAAAACTTTGTATGAAAACTTGAGTGACTATAATAAATGAGAAAGTGCAGTTTTGGTCAGCTCTAACAGTACCACTGGGCAAGGTATATAATTTCAGTCTGTGTCGTTTACACTGTTGATGTGGTCTTGTGTGATCTTTCCTGTATATTCATTTAGATCTGAATAAAAGTTTTATTTTAAGAAGTAATAAAGTGATGTTTTACCGATTTTGTTAAAGGTATTTAAACTTCTATCATAGTTTTATGCAAAAAAAAAAATTAGATTGGTTGTAATATTCAATTTAACAATTACATGTTTTAATTTAAAGTATTCATTCTGTTTGCTTAAAGTGAATACAGTAAGTTCTAGAATGATCCCCTTATTCCATATTCATTCTTAACTCTGCACACTTGTGTTCTGTATCTGGCTTTAGCTTTCATTATGGACTGCCCTCTTTCTGAAGATAGCATTTAAACTTTGAAATGCTGCTTTGAGCTCCGGTTCCCCACCCCCACCCCGGTGCTCTTGCTCACACAGAACATCTTGTGCCTTTTCTTTCTTCTTTTCATCTCCTTGTTCATCTCAGGGGATATTTTACCTGGCAAAGAATAACATCAAGTCATTTTAATTGCTTTCTTGCCATACATAACCTGAGGCTTATGTGATTGTTTTGTTTGTTTGTTTTTTGGCAGGTAAACAGTTAAAATTAGATTTGGCGAAATGAGAATTAACTTATCAGGATGAGGTACATGTATCTAGCTCATTGATTTTTTTTTCTTCTTCTTCTTCTTAAACTTACTTTGCTTTGTAGAAATTCTTGATGAAGGAGACAGTGATTCAAACTCAGACCAAGAAGCTGGAAGTAGTGAAGATGAGGAAGAGGAAGAGGACGAAGAAGAAGGAGAAGAAGAGGAGGGAGGTAAAGTGTGGTTTCAAGTGTAAACACTCAGGGTTAAGTGGCTTTTGAGGTACTACTCTCAAACAGCTTTTTCCACTCCCTGAGAAAGGGCTATGAAGAGCACACTGGCACTGAGTGTGAAGGCTCAGGAGACTGTCTCCCACCCTGTAGGACAGAACACTGTGCCCACAACAGGATGCCAGCCCCCAAAAGGATTAAGCAAGGAAATTCATTTTTTCCTAACAACATTTAATTTGGTATTTTAGACCTTCAGTTCTAAAGCTGCATTCATGTTAAGGGTGTGTAATTTATGTAACTTTGGCAAAAGTGTGACAGATGTGAATGACCAGATATTTGCTGTTCTTTTTGGCAAAATAGAATGAGGAGGCCAGCAACTACATTTGTACAGAAATAGGCTTGGTGTTCTTCCTCTTCAGCTCTGATTTCGTCACTTCATAGAAAAACAAGCTCAGACCTTTACTTTGGTTAAATATCAGTAGTATAGCAGCATACATAAACCACACATTATTTACATGAATTGCACTTCTAGAAATATTACATTGTGTCTTTCTTTTTTATGCTAACATGTCTTGGAGTGAAATTGTTGTTCTGTAACATTTTATAAAAAACGTATATTGGATTTTTCCACTGTCATCTTTAAGTCATCTAAATAGGTGTATACTATATTTTCCTTGACAATTTCTGTTTTATATGGAAGTACTGTTTAAAATACATATAATTATGTATAAGTCCATACAGTCCATCCACTTAGTCAAATCTGTTTATGTCTCTAGAAATAATATTCAGTGAAGAATCAGCTGGAACAAAGCCTTCTGTGGTGTCTGAGTGAATTAGTAATCCAGAGACTGAAATAGCGTTTTTGGCGTATTTGTGGGCCCTGCTCTAACAGTGATACGGACACACCGTGCCTCATAAACTTTGCAGACGCTGATTTGCAGAGGAAAAACAGCATTGTTGTTATTACTGAATTTGATTACAGAACAAACATTTATACTTTTTTTTTGTTTGTTTGTTTTGTTTGAGACAAGGTTTCTCTGTGTAGCCTTGGCTTTCCTAGACTCGCTTTGTAGACCAGGCTGGCCTCCAGCTCAGAGCAATCTGCCTGTCTCTGCCTCCCTGAGTGCTGGGATTAAAGGTGTGTACCACCATGTCCAGCTAAACTTTTATACTTTCATAATGTTATGTTTAATTTATTTCAGGACAAAAATTAACAATTCATGACAAGACAGAAATCAACCTAGTCTCGTTTCGCCGTACAATATATCTTGCTATTCAGTCAAGGTAAGATATCTTTTATTTTTATTTTGGCTAAGAGAATAAGCAAGATCAGTGATACAGTTTAGGGTCTGAGGACAGAAAAATCAGACACCATTTCAATATTCTCATAGTGCTTGCTTCACTCTGTCCTGTACCCATGCTCAGAGGTCTCAGCACATTTGTTCTGTTCTTAGAAAGTAAGTTGTCTTTACTTCCTTAAAATTCCTAATTGTGTTACCAGAATAGGTACTGTTTTTCTTTTTAGTGTGCCGTTTCTTGTAGCTAAGCATTAGTAATTAAACCTTAAAAATAACCAACTCGTTATTAAAAGCTATCACAGTATATGTTAATGAAATTTAATGTTTCTTTTTCTGTGTGGTTTTTAATCCTGATTGTAAGTTGAGGAGCATGGTTGCTATGCAGATGCAGGTGGGTAGAAATGGAATTGGGAATTAAACTTTCGAGGTTTTGAAGACTCTTTGAAGTAGTATTAAGAAGTACCAGGATATCATGAAAATAAAACTGTTTTCTTTGAAGCCTCAGTGTTTAATTTGTAGAGAAATGCACTAGAATGTTAAATGCTTAATCCATCTGTTAGTTTGCATATGAATCAGCCTATTGATTTACTAGGAACATGTTTACATTTCATACAGGCTGTTTTCTCAGTTTTGGTAATTGCTAGATTCTGTATGTTTCCAATGAGTATGATGATGTCATAGCAGTAACGATTCAAAAGTAGGAGTCATCTTGTATTTACTGTCATAGAGTAATACTAAACAGCAGAACACTGATTAGAAAAAAAATTTGTTTGTCTTGATCGTTTACTTTGTCTTTCACATGAAGAAACTACAATTTTCCATACAAATAGAAGTTGAGAATTTTCTTAGTTTGACCCCCCTGCTGTTCTTTTCTGACATCCAACATTAGTCCTCAGAAAAAGGTCATTCTAATGCTGGGAAGAGTGTCAGTGCAGCCCTGAATAACTGTTTAGAAGAAACCCTTGTTTAAGTTACCTGAACTTTGCTAATTTCTAAGTCACAGAAATTGCCAAAATGAAAGCACCGAGACTCAAATGGCAGCCACTCATAAACAGTGGTTCTTCCTTGTTTTTGCATCTACAGACCTTACATGACAGTGTTAAAGAATATCAGCCTGTACATGCCAAGTTTTTTTTTTCCCAGTTATACATGACAGTGGATATTAGACTTAAAAAAAACCCATACACATGTTAGAAGAAAAAGCACAAGTGATCAGTAGACACATTTTGAAGGACTTAGGTGTGAGACCCTTTAGTGATAAGCTCTCATTAAAATGCTCGTCATCAAATAGCTGGACAAAGATGCTGTCATTGGTCATCAAAAGCAGAAGTAGCCTAACCTTTTTTAAGCAGTGGTACTGAGCTTTGCATTTTACTAGATTCACAAAATCATTATGGGCAAACTCTTTACCAAAAGCCTTTTGGATACAGGAGGCAAGGGCTTTTGTTTATTGTAGAACAACAAAGGAAACAAATGGGTCATCACTACCTAAAATACGTGGTCAACTGTCTGGTTTATGCCTCCCTTGAAGATGGAGTTGATGACTTGCTAAGAATAGAATGGTCTGATCTGGGTCAGCTTGGAGAAGATAAGTAGACCACGTAGAGCTCTGCTTCTGCTCTCTTAACTGAGAACAGACCAACCAGCTCAGGAAACGGCTCATTGCATGGCAGCATTGTTTACCAGAAGGCAAGGGAGAAAACTTAGACCATCAGGCTCAGCACTCTTCTTTACCCATTGAACTATCCTATCCTGCCAGCCCTCGTTTCACACACATGGCCAGTGTTCTCTGTTGTCTAATTCTTTATAGCACCCAGGGTAGATGGAATGAAGTGACTGAGTCAGATGGTGTGAGGGTCTTTCGTGTAATCACTTGGGGGAATCATGGGATTTTACAGGACTAAGAATTAAACCTAGTTATGCTCAGTCTTTATCGCTGAGCTGTCCCAGGACCTTACTTTAAGAAATCTTGGACAGGTAAAAGTCAGTTTGACCACTGGAACTATCTAGGACTTGGTGTTTTAAATCTTTTTTCTTGATCACTACTAGTCTGCGAGTGTGCCTTTCATCCTGCTGTTGTGACTCCTACATTACTCTTTTTTTTTTTTTTTTTTTTTTTAATTCTTTTAAGACGCTGTTTCTCTGTAGCCTTGGCTCTCATGGACTCACTTTGTAGACCAGGCTGGCCTTGAACTCACAGAGATCCACCTGCCTCTCCCTCGTAGAGTGCTGGGATTGCAGTTTGCACCACCTTGCCTAGCTAATTACTGTTTTGTTATAGAAAACATCACAGTAAGCAGTTGGTCTTACTGTGGAAGGTGACAGCACGCTCCTTTTTCTTACTTCCTGATGGTGGTCTCGTTTTGCATTTTCAAAGTTGTGGTATCAGAGAGAGATGGACACCAGTGTTCCTGACAATGTGTCTTAAATTAGACATATCAATATAATCATTTTTAAATACTTCTTCAAAATAGGCAGCATGTCAAGACCATAACAGTTCAGGAATGCATTTTTATAACCCTTATTACTAGAAATAAATTTTTAGCCACTTAAAATACCTAAAATACTCACTATTGTTAATTCATATAGAATTTATAGCTAATGGGACTTCAAAATCATGTTTTAAAGGAAAGCAAAAAAATTTAAGCTCATACAGCTATTCTCTGATACTCAAATAAAAACAGTAAAATCTTTTTGATTTTTCAAGACAGGGTTTCTCTGTGTAGCTCTGCCTGTTCTGGAACTCACTCTATAGACCAGGCTGGCCTCGAACTCTTACATCCCGAGTGTTGATATTAAAGGCATACGCCACAATTACGTGGTCAGAAATTTTTTTTAATCACTTATTTGACATGCTTTTGATGCTGCTGCTCTCGCCAAGTATTTCATTTTTTTTTTTTAATAACAGGTCATGTTTAATTATATTCATTGTTATTGCTATAGTATTGAAATGTGTCCATTCTAGGTACCATATAGTATCACCTATTATCTGTTACTGGGAAGATTTTTTATTTTAGTTCTCTTCTTTCTTCCTTGCTTTGCACTATGCTGGACTGTTGTCCAGTTGTGCTTATAATAAGTACTCGACATTAGAAATACAGATGAACTGCAGCACTCCTTCAGAATCATGACATTGCTTGGCTGGTTATTAGGAAGGAAAGCACCCCTTCAGAGCCAGGACATTGTACTGGGTAGCTATCAGGAGGGTTTGAACTGTCTGCAAATGTGCAGATATATTAGCAAATAGAATCAGCCTCACATTAAAAATGCTAATCTCTTAAATCATATAGAGGATATTTTAAATTCATCTGTGCAGACATTGTAAAATGTATCCTTTCTCTTGTAAGTTGCTTTGCATCATTTACTGTTGTTACACTTCATGTGAGAAGCCCTGGGTTTGGGTATAAACAGAGATAACTTTTCAAGTGTGTTGAGCAGCTTTTGGAAGAGCTTTCACCTTGTCCTGGCTCAGCACTGCAGAGTGGAGATGCTGTTGTAGAACTGTGCTAAGATTTGTAGCATCTGGAAAAGAAGGTGGGGTTCCACTGTGCTAGAGTATCACTTACTCTTCTGTGCTGAGGTTTTTAAGACTGGAAGCATAAGAAATTTGACCTGTTTTAGTTAGGGTTTTTTCCTGGCATCTCTAAATACATAAAACACATCCTGGGAAGCTTTTTAAGTACAGTATTTATTACAGCTTTCCCACTGAGCTAGAAAGCATAAGTATCTCTGTGTTTAATTCTTAACTACTGGGATATTGTCCAGGAGTATGGCTCACAGACACTGCTGAGTCTTCGTTTTCTCAGTGTAAAATAAGAATCAAATGTTGCTAAACCTGAGATGTTAAAGATGCATGAGCCAAGTCACAATACTATCCTACCAAGAAGCAGAGGTTGCTAACTTCAACGTGGATTTGTAACTGTTAAATGAATAAAACGTTTTTTAGAAAGGTTAGTTGCTTAGAAATATCCATATGGAAACAGTGAGTTGAGCATGGGAGATGGAGATAGGAGAGTTAGAAGTTCAACATCATCCTCTATAGCCTTGGCTACGTGAAACCTTTTCTGAAGTAAACAGGAAAAACTAAAACTCCTGGTAACATTTTAAGTTTTAATGTTTTCCCTTCATTGTTAAGCATTCTACCTGTTGTTTTTTGTTTGTTTGTTTGTTTTCTCTCTAACCTTTTGAGTGACATTACTGATACTTTCCTTTTTAAACGTAATTTCATAGACAAATACAGAAAGGGTGGATCCGGAGCATGGGCAGTTAGTTACTCCTTGCCCCTGGGACCAGGTTCCCTATCTCGAGAGTTCACGTTTCTCCTTTCTACTGGAGCATCAGATCAGAGCAGTTCCCAATCCCTCACAGGGCTCTTACCATTTGTTTTCATCCAGTACCTCACTCCAGCCTAGGCTGGACCCCAAACTCAATAAAAAAGGTTTTCCTGCCTCAGCCTTTCAAGTGCTGGGATCATAGGAACTAGCCACTATACTCAGCTGCTTCTAGAATTTAAAGGATCACTGATGCTAACACTTGAGAATTTACATCTGTTGTGCTCAGTGAGAAACAGAAGAAGCACAATACAATTTTGTGAGTGGGAGGTCTTCCTATATGTGATAATAACCATTTGCTATGACTTCGGGTTGATTGGTTTGAGAGAATAATCAAAATCAAGGCATTCATTCTCTTTTTTTCCCATTGTGTTTGCCTTTTATAAAGTTGAGGTGTGTGTGTATTAGAAAATCCATCCTTACATGCAGTTCTTTTAGAGTATTTGCAAAGTTGTTTAAACATTGCCCAAATATTTTTGACAGTCCAGGATGATTCTGTTTCCATTAGCCATCATTCTGTGCTTCAGCCTCTACGTCCACGGGTTTTCTGTTCGGAATGCAGGATTATATTGTGTGTGGCCTCGGTGTCTGCTTCTACATAGTGTAGTCTGTGTCTCCTCATGATGTCCTGTGCTTTGTCGTTTGTACAGTTAAGGACTGCTCTTTCCATGCTGGGACATTATATGTATTTATAGTACAACAGTAACAAAGTAATGCTTTGACTTGTAAAGAGCACTGTTATTGATTGGGTTTTTAACATATTATGACCATCTTGTCTCCATAGTCTAGATTTTGAAGAATGTGCACACAAGTTGCTGAAAATGGAGTTTGCTGAGAGCCAAACAGTGAGTCAATGACTTTTTTTTTTAATTAGGAAGAACATATTAGTTATTAAAATGTTTAAGGAGGTTGATAGGTTTTGTGAATTGAAGCAATAAGATGATAAATGTCCATGTAAATGTAAGTTTTTATAATTGTATCCTAAACCAAGACTTAGGACTGCTGGGGTTCTGTCACGGTGCTCTGGTATAGTACAGGCTTGTAGGCATGCTGGGGTGTTAGTCTCTAAACACGGAACTCACGTAATTCTGCATGGAACAAAGTACGGTGGAGGAGGCCTCTGCTCCTCAGTATTACCTGATCCCTGTCTGTACGTATTTGCTAAACAGTTCTTTTGATAGTAACTACAACAAGCACAGCATGTGTGTGTCCACTGCTCAAGTTGGACATAGAAGAATTTGTATTGTTTCATTCATTCATTCACAAGAAAAGAAATTGATTGTATACTTGTTTCAGACAGAGAGCAAAGTGTCACTAAGTACCTAAGGTCTTCTGTTAGCCTCATGGTTCTCATTGTCTCCTAATTGCTGTTGTTAGTATCAGAGCCCTAATGCTCAGGACAGTAAGCATCAACCTGAAGAAAACTTTTGTATTTGTTTCCTAGTTGTCATCATGTATGCTTTTTAGGTGTTTGGACCCTGAGCCCAGGCTTTGGTGGTGATGTTCCTCATCCCTTGCCTGACATGTAATAGACCACACAGGTGGAGTAGTAAATGGATGTGCTCCAGTCGGCTGCTTGGTGTCCAGTCTCTGGTCCTGAGCTGCGTCAGGGCCAGATGATCGCCTGTGGGGTTGATGCACTGTGCCCACACCCACTGTTGTTTTCACAAGTAAACTTTTACTGGAGTAAAGAATGCTCATGCTCACGGACGGGTCATTTTTCCCCTGTTGTTTCCTTACCACAGCAGCAGAATGAATACCTTTGGCCAATACTCCACTGGCCCTGACCTGAAAAATATCTAGTCTATGGGCATTTACAAGGGGAAAAATCCTTGATTCATTATTGAAATGCTGTCATATAAAATTTTGCAAAACTAAATCATTTTCAAATTAAAAAGTTTTGCTTTCTTTTTAAAGTTTTTTTAAAGGAGTCTTAAACTAGTGACAATTGTTATTTGTACTCTTGGCTACAGTTGATACGTCATCCCTAGAAGGAAAAAAATTAGTAAATTAACCTTTAAAATTAGAATTGACACTGAAATTCCCGTGTGACCATGTTACATTTGAGGAGTAATTAAGTCATTACAAATTTTATTAGTGCTAATGCAAAGGGTAATTGTTCTAGAATTACCCTCCACATACTTTGACTGATATTTTGAAGTAACTTAATGCGTCTATTTCATATCCTAAAAGACTCCTAAAATTACTCAGATATTTAATTGATATGTTAAAATATTTAATTATCACGAGCCATAGATAATAATGCTTATAATTGAACTTGGTGTAGGAGAAAAGAATGTTTAGCTTTGTGAGTACTTCTGACAACCACCAGGGTCATCCATCTATTACTGCATTTTGCCGAAAATCGGATTAATATCCTATAATACACAATGTTAGTAGGAAAAACTGAAAGTTAATTTTATATTAAATATCAAATTAATCTAACAGCATAATTTAGAAAGGCTTCATTTTAAGTTTTCCAAAACATACAAAGTATACCTTTCTAGAACTTAACACATTTATAAACATTCCACTTAATTAGGTTAACTTGAGAGTGCTTTTTCTTTTTTTCTTTTTTGTGTCTGAAAGCACTACTATGTTTTAAAGTGATAGCTCTGGCAAGGTTGCTTTACGGTAAACCATTTGTTTCTAGAGCAACAGTGTACAGTAGAACTGTATACTCGTGCTGCCCTGTTCACGGCAGCCATAACTGGGCACATGCAGCTTTTGATTATGCAAAATATGAGTACTGTGACTAAGGACCTCAGAATATAATTTTAAATAATTTAAGTAGCTGCTTGTGGCTGATGGTATCATGGCTAGACAGTGTAACTTCCTGTCTAATTTATTGTCCTGCATTTGCACTCTGGAGTCTCTGACAAATTACTTATGTAGATATAAATGCTTATTTACTGAGATTATTTTTTACTGTTAACAATTTTTACTTAGATCATGCCTCAATTATTGACTGTGACAAAATTTCAAAATAGTTCATTGAACTTTTAAAAGTAAACTGAAGGACTACACATTTAGTTTGCATAGACTGTTTTGAACTTGGAGAATGTAATGTACTCTAGTAAATATATTTGTAAAAATGTAGATGTTCCAGTAAATGATTTATGGAAAAGGGTCCTTGTACAGTGGCCTCATTCTGTCTGCACTTGCTGTGCTACCTGAGTCCTTTCCTCATGAAACTACTGTCTGCTCCATTAGGGTTATTTCACAAATTGTTAAATTATACTTTTCAGTTAATAAGATGTCAGCCATTTCTGATAGTGGATTTTCTGATCAGCGATGTCTTCATTAGTTCTAAAATTTTTCGTGAAGAGGTTTTTTAAAGCGTTTAAATAGCGGATCGGACAGTAAATTTCAGCAGTTACAGGATCGGGCTGTCCATCTTTAGAGGCCCCTTGTACACTGGTCTATACACAGAGTGCCCATTCCCCTGTAGGTAAGTCTGTGCATAGAACATTTATTTCAAGATTTAGGAAATTGAGTCATAACCCTGTTTCTTTCTGTTCTTTTGTTTTTATTTTTGTACATTTTTCCTTGTATCAATTGATAGGTCATTTAAGTTGGAAATGTTCATTTGTGCTGTATAAACACTCATTCTGCTTTTTGCATACTAACTAACTAAACATAAGGTTATGTTTAAATTGTTAGGCATTTGTGTTGGTGAAAATTAGAGAATTCCACGCAGAAGATTTTAAAGACAGAATATCCAGTCATGCCTTGACCTGCTTCGTGCACTAGTTTGTTTAGAAATGATTCATACTCGTGAATTATTTCATCAAATTCTCATAAATAGGTTTAGATGATACTAGCCAGACCAAAGGCTTTTTTTTAAATGCTGAGTTTGACATTGACATTGAGTTTTTAAAAATAGTTTTTCAAAGCTTTCAAAATTCCTAAAAGGCTGGTTAGAAAAATCCATTCAGTGTTGTGCCTGTAAGTTGGATATAGCATAGCTTCACTGTGATCTGAGTCGTTAATGTAAGTTCTCTTTCCAAATAGAAAGAGCTCTGCAACATGATACTTGACTGCTGTGCCCAGCAAAGGACCTATGAAAAGTTCTTCGGCTTGTTAGCTGGGGTGAGTTACAGCCTTGCTAACCCTTACTCATGTCAGGGTGTAATAGATACCTCAAAGAATTCCTCACAATAATACAGTGAACTAATGATTGTGTTTTGTGGCCTGCTCTACCCTTAACTAACAACATGAGTTTTCTGAGAGCACAGTGTTCCCTCGTTGAGATTACTCATGCCCTTCAGTTTCCTTTCCCACTTCATTTTGCAGCACATTAAATTTGCTATATAAATATTGTGTAACAATTTCCCAGTAGAAAACAACTAAACGTATTAAAAAACTCAAAGCAGTTATTAAAGTTAGGAACTTGTTTAGGCAGCATAGGATAAGCATGATCTAAAAAAAAAAAAAAAAAATTAAAGGTTTGTTTTTTTCATTTTAATTATGTGTGTGTGTAGGAGAGTGCATGTGAGTTCAGGTATCTGCGGAGGCCAGAGGTGATGGATTTCTCTCTGGAGCTAGAGTTACAGGCTGTTCAGAGCTCCTTAATGCAGCTGATGGGAGCTTAACTTGGATCCTCTGCAAGACCACATGAAATACTAAGCATTGTTCATCTTTCTGGTCCCTAAATGTATCTATAAACCATTCACAAGGTATATCTATATAATGTAAAATGTGTGTTTAGGATCAACTAAATGTATAATTTCATTTTAGCATATAAATCCAGATACAGAGAACCTGTATCTGTAACTTCTTTCTGAACATCATTTAGCATAGAAAAATAGGGTAATAGATGTTTCTCGAAGTGTTTACAAACATTTGACCTAGTAAATTTAGGAATACTAAGTCCAGTTGTATTGACATTTAGTTTCTGCTGGGGTTGACTTTTAGTTTTTCTTGTCTGTAGCGGTTTTGCATGCTGAAAAAAGAATATATGGAATCATTTGAAGGCATATTCAAAGAACAGTATGATACCATCCATCGCTTAGAGACAAACAAATTGAGAAATGTTGCTAAGATGTTCGCTCACCTTTTATACACGGATTCACTTCCATGGAGTGTAAGTAGTGGATCAGTGTTTGCTCTTCATTCCTAGCTCCATTGTTTTCAAATGTGTTCTCATTATGTCATGGCCATAGTTGGTCTCTCAGTGAATGTGAATAGTGAATTGTGTAGTGCACTCTGACTGCGGCCGCTGTCCTTGAAACACGTTCATGTAGCATGGAGTCGGAGGGCTAAGTCAGATGACGTACACGTGTAAGGAGTATCATTGTGGATCACGCATGACAGCCCAAACCCGCGCTGCTTTTCTGTGGTGATGACAAGCAATATTTTCAGGGGACACAGGACACAGTTTCATGTTTGACATCTGTATGCGTTTGTCTCTACTCACATAAGAAAGGAGAGAGGCACATCCCCTATTCTGTGGCGCTGTGCCTCACAATTCCTGCTCATATTTCCTGAAAAAGTGGCTTTTCCAAGGCTCCTCTTACTAAGACTCAGGAGAAAGGATTGTTCTAGGGGGTTGTGGAAAGTCAATATTTTTGTTTCAGCAACAGGAGGAGATCCTGTGATCATACTTAGAATAGAACAAAGAAATACATTCCTAATGGGGAAACGTGCACCAAATTGAGCATTAAACCCATATTTATTGTATGTTCATTTAAATGCTGTTATTTAGCTACCACTTGCATGCCCAATCACAACCCTTGGTAGTGGGCAATCAAAGGATTTATGTAGTCCCTGCTTTCAGGAACGTTACTGTGTAAGAGAAAAGTTAGGTCTATGCCAGTCATATGTCATAAAAAGTCAAAGTTACTAGAAGAATTTTAATGGAGAGACATCACTTCCCAGAAGGAAGAGGACAATGTTGTAAAGTACCACGAGCTGAGGGTGGGATGAGGCTCCACCCCTGGTCTTAGGAGTACAGGACAAGTTTGTATACAGTACTTAAATACTAAGCGCATCCAGCTACATTCAACTGCACTTTCAAGCCAACCCACAGCCAGTCATTACTCTTTACTTCATGTCTCCTGTTCTACAAAAGAAGGCAAGTTTTAAACAGTTGGCTGAAAATGGGCTTTCAGAACATGATACGCATAAAAGCTAGGGATTTTTTGTTTTTCTGTTTTGCTTTAAAGCCCACAAGTTAGTTTGTAAATGCTGTAATCTTAGTTTTCAGGATACATCATCCATTGTTTTGTTTTGTTTTTACTTTTGTCTTGTGTAGACATGCTAAACAGAACCATAATCGAATGTTCATGGTGGCGTTTTGCCTGGTCCCTTGTATACATCACACTTTGCTGAGGACGGTTGTGAGAGCAGTCTACTATGGTGCCGTGTGCTCAGGACAGGGTATCTTCTCTGCTGTAAAAAGCACCTTCCTTAGGAAGGAAAGAAACCTACTTCTGTACCATCTGAGCATTGTAAAGTAGAGAGAAGCAGTCTTACACTTTCCCAAGAAGTGACACATGTCAGCATAAGGGAGGGGACATGGAGATGTTGCTTAAAGATGAAAAGGCCTGGTCATTCTCAGAACTTAAACTGGTCGGCTACTTGGCCTAGTCTTTAAAAAAAATTTTTTTTTATTCTCTCTTAATTTTCAGGTTCTTGAATGTATAAAGCTGAGTGAAGAGACCACTACATCATCTAGCAGAATTTTTGTCAAAATCTTTTTCCAGGAACTGTGTGAATACATGGGTCTTCCTAAGCTGAATGCGAGGTTAAAGGATGAGTAAGTTGACTAATCACAGTTTGCGCTTAGTCTTCCTGTCTGTGGTTTGCCATGTTAGCAGATATGGTACGCTCTTCATGGGGTCTTGGGGCAATATCAGCATGCTGCATGTTACAAGACATGAGACAACACACGCCTTTCTGGGTTCTGTTCTAGGACTGTCAGGTAACTCCTCGTTCACTCCTGTTCATTCAGAGTCCTCATTATCACTGGGATTGGATTCTAGTCTATTCCATAGTGCTAATGCCAGTATTTCACTTTTGCCTTCTTAAGTGTTGACCAAAGGCCTGCACTGATGAGACAGTCCTTCATATAATCTGTCTACATTATCAGGCTCATCTCCCTCCTCAGCTGCACCGGAGTCACATCAGTATCGAAAATTTGTAGTGATTGATGTCTGAGTTTTCATGCACATTTACCACTGCCTGGAGAAGCAGTGACCCTCATTAGATGTGTGTAACAAACACTTAATCAGTCTGCCTATAGTTTACCCTTTTCTGTGAAATACTCAGTGACTGATTCCTACTCTTCCCAGGGCTTTCACACAATTTAGACGTGCATGTATATGTAAAAAGAGCTAAGGCCTTTGAGTTTTTCTGTGCATGCCCACAAAATACACTTGTGTGCATGTATCCATGTACACATGTATACGTGCTATCTGTACACTCTGTGTGTGTCTTAGTGTGTATATAAAACATTTCTAAAGCTATGTTGTGTAATTACAGAAATAAAGTTTAAGGGCCAATGAGATGTCTCAGTGGGTAAAGGAGACCCAGGCTGAAATAAACTGTCCTGACACCCACATGGTGGAGAAAGAACCAGCTCCCACATGTCTGTCCTCTTACCCACGCGCGCACACACACACGCACACTAAACTGCAAAAAGTGAGCTTCAGTGAATTGTTCTTTGTTGCCTGTTGTGTTAGGTCGCCTCACATGACAATGCATAGGCCACTTTCTTGTATTTCACTTAGTGATTTACTATATAAAAAATCTGATAACTGGGTGTAGGAGTTTTTGTTTTTCCCTTTCTCCGTTTTCTTCATTCCTTTTTTTTTTTTTTTTCAGAACTCTTCAGCCATTCTTTGAAGGACTGCTACCCCGAGACAACCCACGGAATACCCGGTTTGCCATCAACTTCTTCACTTCCATAGGCCTCGGAGGCTTAACGTAAGAATCCTTTGCAGAGCTTTGTCTTTCCTGGCAGGATTCTGTCACAGGTGCCAGAAGGCACAATGTAACATTGCATCTCTGTTAGGGATGAACTTCGGGAACATCTGAAGAACACGCCCAAGGTCATCGTAGCACAGAAGCCAGACGCTGAGCAAAAGAAACCCTCCCTGACTTCTTCATCTTCAGAGTCGTCCTCAGAGTCGGATTCTTCTGACTCAGATTCCGACAGCAGTGAGAGCAGCTCCGCGTCCTCCAGTGAAGGGAGCGAGTCTTCATCTGCCAGCAGTGAGAGCTCTGCCTCAGGTACCACACTCGCCCACACCTTGTCCTGCTTGTGTCAGCAAGGGAGGGCTCAGCTGCTGCTTCTTTATCTTCCTGTCTGTTTAAACATATTTGCTGTTAGAGATGGTAGTCTGTCCCGATGCAGTCTGCAGTCTGTCTGTTGTAGAAGCCTCCTCGCAGGCACAGCTAAATCTTTGGCAATTAACTGTGATTCCAGTGACGGCTGCGTTCTATCGTACCGACGCCATGCTGACCCTTCACAGCCAGGCATTCAGGCTTTACCGGAGGTAGTCAAGCTGTATTTGACCACTTGCCATCATCCACGCTTGTGAATTGAATGAATAAGCTCAGTCGGGCCTTTGCAGTCCGTAGCTCTCCACCAGCTCAAGAAGTACTGGTACTTTCGAACTCTCTGCTCCTCTTGCGCTTACCAGCCTCCTGTCTTCATAGCAGCTGCTGTTCTGCTCTGTACATCCATTAGTGAGTCTTGCCTCTTTTGCCTTGTTGAGACAAGGTCTCCCAACACAGCTGAAGCTAGTCTCCACCTCACTACACTGCCTAGGATGGCCTTGAGCTGCAGTCCCACCCCCAGCCTCCAAGGGCTGGGTTTTAGCTGTCATGCAGAAAACATCGTTTTACCCAGTGTTTGCCTGGCTTGTTTGCTGTTTTGTTTGGTTTTTGTTTGTTTCTTTGTTTTGGGAGGGGTTGGTTTTTTGTTTGTTTTGTTTTCTAAGTTTTTTATGCAGTCTAGATTGTCTGTTCATTCATTGTCTGACAGAGGCTAGTTTTGAACCTGGTCCTCTCTACCTACAGTTCCCAAGTGCTAGGTTTAGAGGCCTGTGTGACAGTGCCTGTTTTAACTTTTTAATTATTAACTATGGACTCCTTTATATCTACTGTTTCCTTCATTGTTACATTCACAAAGTATTGCTCCATTTATAACTGATCCATCCACGTTGGTTGCCGTTCATATGTGTCTGGTGTCCTATGTGCATCTTTTAATGAGTGTGTATGTGGTCTGTTCCTCACCTCATTGCACAGACAGGCTTTGAACCATAGTCCCCATCGTGTGTGTGTGTGGGTGTGTGTGTGTGTGTGTGTGTGTGTGTGTGTGTGTGTGTGTGTTGCTGCATAAAATGCACACACACACACATATATAATACATTGCAGCATGTTTATATATAATGTGTATATGTCAAGCAAGCAGTTCACACGTAAGTCTATGAGGTTGCCAGAGCCTTTTGTCTTTTGTTCTTCCCCCAGCAGCAGCCCTGGATCAGCAGATGCATCCAGGGAGGAGCTGTCAGTATGACATAGCTCACTTCTCTCTAATTCTGCCTTCCTTTAATGTGGAGCCATTTTGGTTCTTGGGTTTTTTGTTTTTTTTGTTTTTTTTTTTTTTGGTTTTTGTTTTGTTTTTTTTTAAGTAGTTCTTTATTTTTTTAAATATAAGGTTTCATTTTGAACTAACTTCATACTTACAAGAAGATTACAGGAGAAAGAATCCACATATGCTCCCCACCCAACTCCCCCCAGTGTTGGCTTCTCATATTAGCAATGTAATTATCGATGAATGTGAAAATTCACAGTGAACAGTACTATAAGCAGATCTCATTTGAATTTCACGAAGAGTAAAGCAGTAGATGAATGACTCAGAACACCAGGGTCCTTTTTCTTCTTTCAGGAACCTGTTTACATTTCAGTGGTCTGTCAGGGCTCCCATACTCCTTTGACATTTTTGAAGCTTCTTATCACTTATATTGAAGTTCTTCAGTGTCGATATTCTCTAAAGAACAGGATAAAAGTTGATATCATAGTTACTTTTGCTGAGAAGAGTCACCATGACCGTGGCAACTTATAGGAGAAAGAGTTCACTGGGGCTTACAGTGAGAGGTTGAGCCCGTGACCGTCATGGCAGGGGGCATGGCAGCAGGCAGACATGATGCTGGAGCCATAGCTGAATGTGCAAACCTTATCTGTAAGCCTGAGGTAGACAGCATGGACTTTTGAAGCCTTAAACCCCCACCCCCCAGTGACACACCTTCTCCAACAAGGCCATCCATCTACCTCTTCCCAAACAGTTCTACCACCTAGGGACCAAGCATTCAAATATATGGGTCTGCCGTTCTCATTCAAACCACCAGATTTGAATGTCATGGAAATGTCCTGCTCTTACTGCATCTTCTCAAGGGACTCATACATTCTGGCATGTCGTAATTTACTAACATCAACCATCAGCACTAAGTTGAGAACATGTGTGTTGAGTGTCTTCGGATAAACACTTCACCTATTAAATCAGTTGTCTTGTAGGGATATCATTTAATTCTCAATCGTTTTGGCAGTCATTTTTGGAGCCATTTTCTGGTGTTTGCCTAATGATGATTTATCTATTTTTCTTTTTGGATGAGTAATTGAATTTCTGCAAGAAAAACTATTCCCTTGTTTATTTACCTGGCCTCATCTTCATATCACCAACTTATGCCTGTATTCTCATGTGGGTTACACTCCAGTGTTTTCATTCAAATCATTTTATGTTTTTAAAAGATATTTTCATTACAATTTCTGTGTGTGTGTGTGTGTGTGTGTGTGTATACATGTACCACCTGTATGGTGTGAACTTGTGGAGACCAGAAGGCAAGTTTCAGGATTTGATTCACCTCTGTCATGTGGGACATAGGGAGAAAACTCAGGTCATGATTCTTGGCAATGTTCTTTACCCATTGACCGTCCTGCCAGCGCTCATTTCACTCTGATCCTTGGAGTTGTTGCTCTCAGTTCACTTTGTTTTCACACGCTCCCACCCTTTCCTGAGTACCTCTCTCACCCCAGAATCACACATGTTGTCGAGCTTCCGTGCCTTCGAACACACTTAAACCGCTGTCTCCAGCTCCTCTGACTGTATATCTCAAGTTTTTACTGTACTTCAATGCCTGCTTCGCGGTGCCAGCCTCCCTCTTCAGTTTAGACTGGATGGCAGATATTGTGATTCCCTGTCCTGTTACATACTTGACATGCTGTCTGACAGTCAGAACTGTGGGGCTCTTCATGTTCTTTCTGTGTGCTTAGAACAGGAGTCCATTTGCTCACAGGAACTCGATTCCTGGATTGAAGTAATGTAAGCACTGTTCGTTTACAGCTTTTTGAATGTTCCAGAGTATATGTTACGGCATCCATTTTGAGGACAGATAATAGCTCTGCATGAATTTTGCAGGAAGAAAGTTTGCTGATTCAAAGTTAATTTGCCTTATCATACAATTTTAGCAGAGAACTGTTTCATTATTAAAGTATTAGATAGTATGAAAGCAGTGTGAACTGCCTCCAAATTAGAAAACGGAGAAGCAGACATGGCGTTGTTGCATGGCTGGGGTGTACTGTTGGCAGAGCCCTGGCGGGGTTAGAACGAGCCAGAGCATGGGCTTAGCACTGAGTCAGAAAGCTTCTGCTCAGGCAGCTGCAGCCCATATACCGTGTGCCATCCAGAGTCAGTTAGCATAGAAAGAGGGGTTGGTACCCTGACATTTGTTGTAGAGTCAAGTCAAGAAGTGATTTCCTGTTGTGTTATCGTTCTGTAGTTACAGGATTTGTGAAATTTTAGTCATCTCGTGCTTTTGATTCATGAACACAAATAACAAGTGACTAAAATTAACGTAAAATGGTGATTTATTTTCCTTTATTTTATGTGTGGGATTATATCATTAAAACTGAATTGCTCGTGGTCTCTTTAGAAGTTTTTGCCAGAAACCAAGCGTCCATAGCTCTCAGCCTGTAACTGTCATAACCCAGCTCTTACTTGTATGGCCAGCGACTGTGAGAACACTGGAAAGCAGCACTGTTCACTGAGCGGGGCTTTTTGGTGGAAACACACCTGTGGCATAAACACACCTCCCAGTAGGAAGTGGTTTGGGGGTGGCCATGTTTCGTGATTATGCACGGGGATGCCTTCATCAAAGCTTCATTGACGAGAAGCTCTGTTGGGTCAGAGTCTGTAAGTGGCAGTATGCTGCTTCTAATTTGATGGATTGTTTTTCCTTTGCTATAGTTTATAGAAAGCTCCTATGAGAAGTTGAGTTTGAAACTGTAGTTACTTAGTAATTAATAAGGACATATTTTAAAATTTAGTCATCTTTTAAAATAGTCTGTCTTTAGGCTTTTCAGTTTGGCTTCACATTCAGTTTACACAAATATTAGTGCCCTGTGGTAAATTGGTAAATGTTATTGTTAAATTATGGTTAAATTAGATTAACATAAAAACTAATTAATTGTTTGCATGCAGCTCAAGGTGCAAGAAAAAAGAGACAATGGAAGGCCAGAAACGAAGAGGTAGATAAATCAACCAGGGGCCACCAGACACGTGACAAGAGGCGAGAAGGAGGCAGGGAGGAACAAAGGCACCAGGAAGGACGGACTGAGAGAGCGAGGTCTGAAAGACACAGAGCTCAAAACTCACGAGATCCAGACTGGAGAGATCCCTCGGCCAAGTACATGGCGGACAGAAGCCAAGAAAATAGTCACAGTAGAGTTGGGAATGGCCGGCACCAAGATGAACACAGAGAGCTGGAGGACAAGCGTGGTGAGCCAAAGAAGAAGCGGCGGGAGAGGAGAGCCTCTTTTTCTGACAATGAGAAGCAAAGAACCCGAAACCAGGACAGTGAAAATGTTAGAAGAAAAGATCGCTCCAAGTCAAGGGAAAGGAGAAGACATTCAGGTCATAAAAGTGATGACGACAGGTATCAGAACGGTGCTGAGAGACGGGAAAAATCTAGCAGACACTCTGAACATTCTAGAGAATCAAAGAGAAACCAGGACCAGAGGAGAGAGAAGTCTCCAGCGAAGCAAAAATAGTTCTAACTACAACTGAACATGCCTTATACTCAGCTCCAACGTCTTTTTTACATTGGTGGATTTTATAGAGAACTCTTGTATAAAGTACCCGTTTGTAAATTTTAAAGGTGTTTCTTTTTGACATGTTTTATAATTAATACGTCTCAAGATCCTTTGTGTAAAATCATAAAGAAAAGGGTCTCAACAGTGGGGTAAGTCTTATGTTTTGTGAATAAAAGGAACAAATGTTCATTGAGTCAATGATTTTTTTTTTTTAATTTTTCTATATGTCTATTATAAATTACCATAATTATTAGTGGCTTTTATTTATAACCAGAGGCCAAAATAAATAAACCTTTTCCGTTTTTCACAGTGGGGTTTCTGACAACCTACGTCTTTGGGTTTCTGTCGGGTATTTGGGGGGAGCTGAGTGTGTCACCCTCTTGAGAGATTTGCTTGTAGTGAGTGATCCTGCTTCAAGATGTGTGGCTCACCCAGACCCATCTGTTCTCGGGGCTGCTGGGTAATTTCACACGGGAGCATTGCTGTGGTTAGTGCTCTCTATCAGCTTAACATTAGGTCAAGGCCAGGAGGTGTATATTTAATTTTAATTTGGTTTAATAAATCATTTAAAAAGCATAATCATGAAGTACATGAATGACCTGTGAAGCAATTCCAGTTTTTTTATGTGACTTAGGATTTTCTTCACTGTAACTTTTTCAGTGTATGTAACTATAGTTATTACTGTGGAGCTAAGCGTTACCTGGGACCTTCTGGGGGGCAGGTCTCTTACCACACCCGCACTATGGCCTGCTGGCACTTGTCCACCTTAAAGAGCAGAGGGACAGCTGTAGCAAAGCGTGGGTATTACTGTAGTGGGACTTAGTGGCGCAGGCCGTCAATCCAGCACCTTCCTTATCTGGAAGGCCTGCAAGTTCTCTTTCTCAGTCCTTACTACCCCTCACGTCCTCTTTACAGCTGTTTTACAGCTGTGCCTAAAGACTCTTCTTGAAGCATGCTGTGACCACTGCCCACCCAGCTTGCACTGCTGTTCAGACTCTCTCATCTCTTCAGAACGTCTCATCGGTTAACTTGTTGGCACCTCACCACCTGGTTTCCTACGTTCTGTAGCCTGGCCCTCAGAAAGGACGAAGAAACAAATGGACTTGTTTAACTCTTCCACCCGTTAAGAACTGGCTTTGTCCGTAAGTGGAGACTGTGAAGTCCAAGATGCCAGAGGACTCAGGTCTTGAAGTTGTTTCCTGTCAGACCCAAGTTTTATTCCAGATCAGCTTCCCTCCAGAGCAGGACTGGGGATGGGAGAGCCCTTGACGGCCTGTTGACTGGCAGCTCCTTGCACCTAGTTGGATGAGCCCGAGCAAACTTAACCCCTTTCTTTTCCTATTCTTCTGAAGGATTCTTATAGTACTTGCTTTACAGAGCTCGGACTACGAAATAAAAACACAAAGTAAGCACTCAGCCCTCTTTCTTCCCCTTCACAAAGGAAGGACTTAAAAGAAAAATCGAGCTCTTTGCCTGGCTTTTTATGATCCCTTTCTTTTATCTCACCTAAAATAGCACTTAACCTTTTCTTTTTCTTTTTAAATATTAAAGTAGCCACATAGGAAGGACATTTAGGTGGGATATAGGTATGACAAAAAGCCGTTTCCCATCATTTTTCTTGTATTTCTTACTATTTAGAGCCTTTAAGATTTTTCCAGATGCATATATCTTTTAAGCAGAAACAACCTGATTCTCCTGCCACTTCAGTGTGTTGCCGGGTGAGGAGGGGCAGAGGGAGAAGACTTTTGTAGGTACCAGTGAATTTTCTTAGAATTTTGAATTTATTTTTGAGATTATAATATAATTCCCTCATTCCTTTCTTCCCTTTTCTTTCTAAAAGCCTCTCACATGCCCCTCTTTGCTCTTTCAAATTCATGGTCTCTTTTTCATTATTATTGCTTGCATATATGTACATGTCTATACATAGAGATTTCTAAACACAACTGCTCAGTCTGTACAGTGTTACTTGTATGTTTTCAGGGCTGACTATTTGGTGTTGGACAACCAGTTGGTGAGCTCTTCCCTGGGGAAGACTGTTTGTCCCACTCTCAGCATTCCTTAGTTCTCTGTCGTTCTTTGTATAGGTTTGAGGTTTTGTGGGCTTTTCGCCGTCCATGCTGGCATGTCCATTGGATCATTCCTGTTGAGCTCACGCTTAGGCAGGCATGTTGCAGAGACTTCACTAGTAGGCCCTTTCTCACAGCAGGCTCCCACCAATGAGTTCTTGACTTTCAAAATCTTACTTACACTGTTCTCATTGACTTGACTGACAGTGTATCCTCTCTGGCTTCATTGGTGTTTGTACCCTGAGAGGGTTTAGAGCTCCAGCACTCCTTTTGCAGGCCATTTACTGGAGAGGGCAAAAAGTACTTGTGCACACAAATATGCCCTAGAGAAGCCAAGAAAGTTAAACTCGCAGGCATCCTTCAAAGGCAAGAGATGTTTAACCTGTCCTCCTGGAGGGTTGGGAGTGGATGTGCTTTATAACCTGGGATCCTTCGCTGATGAGCCAGGCTCTACACTGGTCTCGGAATTTATGTTTTACTTACTTCTTTCCCCCTAAAACCTTGAGCGTTATTTCTGGGCCATAAAATCCATGCATATGAGAGATGTCATTTGTACTTTAATAAAACAGCCTAAGTTGACTTCTATGTTATCTTAGGGCCAAGCCAAATCCTGACTTCCACAGGCATTTAGTTTACCTTAGTCATTCTCCTAGACCATTGTTGTTTCTAAGACAGCCAGACCCCATCTTAGAGCTTCAATGTAAGCATGTCTGAAGCTTTGCTGTACTCACAGGGTTGGCTTGTTATCAGAAAAACTTTTTTCCAGAATTGTGTTGTGCTTAAATATGGCAAAAAATAACCAAGCTTATGTCAGACTCCAAAAAGTCTTGACCCAGCACTGGTTACCTAATTCGGGCTGAACTTAGTTTCATTCTCCCTCACCGGGATCGTTTTCCCTGCAGGCTGTAAAGGCCTGCAGTGTCTCCCATGAGTTACCATATTTTGTAACTTAGTGTAGCAGCCTTCCAGACCTTTACATTCTTTCCCTGTTCCTCATACACGTTGAAGACTGCTTCTTCAGCTACGTGAATGTCAACATCTGGTGATACTGCAGGGAGACTGAGGGCCCAGTGTGACCTCTAGGAACATCGTCGCTCCTGTGTATATTTCATCACACACTCCAGACTAACCACCGCCTCGCTGGCCTGCCTCTTCACTCTGACCTCTTTTTGTGTCCTCAGCCTTGGATGTGATACCGTATTCTTCCACTCACAGTTCCCTCATTCCCTTTCAGGTGTCCTTGAAAATGTTTGAGTTTGTTGCATGTCCCATTAGAATGCACATTATTTAAAACTAGTCCTATCTGTGTTATGTTTACTGAAAATAAAGGGACTTTCAGTCTCTACCACTGCCCCCCCTGTCCATGCTTTGTGCTGAACTGTTAAACCTCAGTCCAACCCAGATGAGTTATACACAGGTAAAGAGTGGGTACTTGCCTATCCACAGTCACATGGTGTGATCCGTGAGTGCCTGGCTGGGTTTATAATCTCACCTTTACCCCTTTCTGGCTATAGACCTGTGGAGAGGCCCTTTAACATCTGCCTTAAGTTTGATGATAGCACAATGGTATAATAATAATCCATGCTTGGAATAAGATCTCTGGAACACACATGGTGAGTGCCTGGCACAGAGAGCTCTGTGTTGTCATTACTGGTGCCTTTTTTTTTTTTAAATTAGAATGTCATTGTCATTAAAGATGATCTGGTACCACTCACTAGACTAGAAGTTTCACAGACAAATACCTGCTTTGATAGATGACATCAAACAAACCATACTATCTAGCAAATCCAGGCAGTCTATCCTGTCCTGTATACCTGGAGGTTTTTCAGTGGCTGCCTGTCTGGTGTTCAGAGAATTAAAGATTTTTATGTTGTTTTTCTTAAGGTGTATTAACTGGTTGTTTAACTCATGTGTTACAAATACAAAGACTGGGGAAATGGGATTGAGTTCACTGGATTAGCTTTACTCCTGGAAATGAGAACCTTTGGGATGATTTAGGGGTCCTTAAGAAGTGCATTATCTATAAACAGGCCTATTTTACTTAACTGGAGATCACAGCTATGCTGTAGTCATAAACTGTTGTGTAGCTAGTTCCCAAAAATCGAAGCATTGCCTCCTGGAGGGAAGATGGACTCAGCCCAAAAAGTTCTAAGAGTCAGAAGGAATTTCCCAAGGTTATATATACAGGTAAAGAAGAGGAGGACAAGGAGGAGGGAGAGGAAGAAGAAGCAACAAAAACAAACAAACAAACAAACGAAATTCTTCAGGGGAGCTGCCTGCATGTTGGGCAGGAAGCTCCAACAATTCAACATTCATAAGTCATCCATTCTGGAGTGAACTTCCAGTGTGCAGTTATCTTAAGTTTCCTGTGCTCCTAGAGGTAACCCATGTTCCTTTAACCCCAATATATTGGTGTACCAAGCTATACTTAGAAGCTTTGGTCTGTGAATAGACATCTATCGCCACCACCCACCACAATCCCCTGATAGGGAATCTACAACAGACCAAGTTAAAGATACCACCAAAATCCAACTTGTATTAGGGTTATGTAAGGGATCAGGAATGATCCCAAAGTAGCTATATTGCTGAAAGCTATATGGGTGACAACTCACAAGGGCGGAATCCTGGCACTGATTGCACAAGTTGTGCATAGCTTGACAGATCAGAGAGTCCCAAGAAACTCAGCTATCACCTTGGTCTCCCCAGCAGTATTTTCTGCTTATCTGACCTTTGGGGGAATGTTTTGTGCATGTCCTAAGATTTAGGGATGTCCTGAGCTTTCTGAGTTGTGTACTTCCTGACTACAGCACTGGAACCTCTCTTTAGAATGTCCTAGGTCTTAATGAGCCTTCTTTGAAACTTTCTGTGTATTGACTGGCTATAGAGAAAAATACTACACAATAGTCTGGCATAGGTTCCCTGTTGGGTGAACAGACATTTCTTTAAGTCTCCCTAGAAAATGTCACTTGGGAATACTTGAGAGCGTTGTGCTAAGCAACTGCAAATCCTCTTGCTGAGCAAATGATTCTAGTGAATCTGGCCACCGACCCTGAGCGAATGATTCTGATGAATCTGGCGACTGAAGAATTCACTGACTTGAAACAACAGTACCTATGTCCCCTGTGCCATCTA